GATGACCGGTAAGGGGATCTCAACCCTTGGCTTGGTGTTGTCAGCACCATGCTCAGCCAGTGAGCCAACCAGCCATCCCTATATAGGATCCGAATCTGTGGCCTTGGTGTTATCAGCACCTCACTCTCCCGAGTGAGCCATGGGCCGGCCCCCTTAGCATATTTAAACAGTATTCAAGCAGTTTCCTTAACATGTCTCAAGAACAATTAGTAGGTTAAATAGTCAATAGTCATTCAAGCTGGAATCAAACCAGCAACCTAAAACAGTCAAAGTACACAATCCCATCCCTAAACAGTGATTAGAATTGATTAGATGGCTTTTGCCAACCTTATCTGTGGACTTTTTTCCCCTACTCAAGAACCTTTTGGCTCATTGATTCATTGCCTAAAAATCCTATTCTAAGATCAAAGGAGAATAAAGATTTCTAACCCACTACAGAGGGCAGGAAGCCTACCTAACTGCTCCCGAAGGCCCCTCACTTCTTCCTCCAGATGCTTGCTGCAGGTCTCCATCTCCTTCCTCTGGGTCTGGCACTGATGGCTCATCTCTGAGGTGAGGGCAGTAGGCAGTCAGGGACCCAGGTGTGGATGGAGAGATGGAGAAGGGGAATTGAGTTGTGGGTGGGGAAGACTCTGCTTGGTCCAGTGGGAGAAGAGCATAAAGGCCTTCTTGGTTCTTTGTGCAGTGATTCTGAGAAGCTGAGAGACTCCAAAAACCCCAGGAAGGGATAGGAAACCAGACTCCCTTGCCCTATTGTAGCTTAGGATGGGAATTCTAGCCCTTCTCCCCGCCCACTACCATAGGATGAATGAGCCAATTGCTATGACTGCATTTTGTACACCACAAACCATCAAATACCTGACATCAGGTATCCTGGAAGGTCCCTGCCTAGGATCCCAGAGATCTTCCTCCGGATCCTGCCTGATTTGTGCTGTGCAGAGAATGCTGAGACGAGGCCTGGCTGTTGGGAGCCCTCCTTGTTTCCTTTTTTTGCATTCTCTGGCCCTCTTGGTTGTCCTCTTCCAGGTGCCTGTCTCCTGCCCACCTGCTCAGTTGGCCACACACCTGCATATACGTGAAGGGACCCTTCACTTCGGGCCCCTTCTCAGTCTCCAATTGTTGAAACCTCTGCTTCAGCTGGTCTTCAGAAGCCTTGGGCCGATGGACCTCATCCCCTCGTAGAGCTATGAACAGTCCCAGAGCTGCCCTCAGGACTGCTTGGAGGCCCCACTGAATCAGCCCCTCTGGGCTTGATGGACTTTGCCCATCTCTAGAAACCTGGTGTCAGGGCATCCAGTCTCTTATTCTCTCTCTGGGTGTTTTTGTTTTCCCTAGAATCTCACACAGGTTCTTCACAACTAAGAAGTAAAAACTCCTTCCATGTCTGGCTATATAAAACAGCTTCCTTCATCAACCCTCACTGCCCACCCTTCCCGTACAGTCTTTTTCCACTAGGGGATGGCTAGAGATTGGCTTAGCCACCCACCATAACTGCAACCCTCCAGTCCTCCAAGGATACAGAGATGCCCCATGGCACCGCCTCACTGTCTCCCAGAGCTTCTGTTCTTCTTACCCAAAAGGTCTTGGAGCAGCAACTTCTCTAGCACCACCAGCCTGTCCTTGGATTCGACCTCCACATCTGTCCAGGCAAATTGGCAGAGGCTTAGCTTATCGTGATCTCAGCCTCATCACCTCCCTGCTGTCCTCGCCCCACACCCTGGACTTCCTTCCTGCACGAGATCTGAGGACCACTAAATGAGGGATTACTGATGGTAGAGCCTACTGAGTTTACCACCATGTCCTCACTGCCCAGCACATAGCAGGTGGTCAAAATACATGTGACAAATATCTTAGGAAGGCACAGAGCTAGACAGGGTTGAAGGAAGAGTGCATGTAACCATTACCCCAATTCCTCAGCTCCATGGAATGTGTATTTAAGGATATGAATCCAAGAGGAGGGTCGGCAAAGCTCCATTGCTCCATCCTGTCATGCAGAGGGCTGGATTCCCTCTGGAGGACCTCTGCTTGGACTCCGTGCCATGCATGGAGAAGCAGGGGTCACCCACCTCCACCCACCATGACTCTCCACCACCCAAGTACTTTTTCTTCTTCTGTGCCCCAGCTTTCCTCCCTATTTCTTAGGTCTTAAGTGGCATCTCCTTGCTTTCCTGGGAGAGGGAGGGAGGGGACCTTGTGCTTAGGTCTGGATACGGGGATGTTTTCCTGACTCCTAGACTGAACCAGGAGTCTTAGGAGAGTTGGAATTCTAGTTTCCAAGTCTGTCTCTTATACTTTCCAGAAGCTTCAATTCTTGGTTTCCTTGGAAACTGGAGCTGGAGTTAGTGGGAAGGAAGGAGCTGTTTCTCTCCACCAGTCAGGCTCCATGTACAGAAGTCATTCCTCTCAACCCTCTTCTAGAGAAAATAAGTCTCTGTACCTGGTCCCCTCCTTCTCCCCACCATTCTAATCCTGCTTCTTCCTACCTGTAGGATCCCGTCTTGCCTGTTTTGGTTTCACTGTGGAGTGACCCACTCATGGGGAGGGGCAGACAGGAGGCCCAACCACCTAGGAGCGTGAGGAGTAGCCTGGGTCCTGGGAGCCAATCCAGGGTGGTAAATTCCCCTCAGAGGCAGGACTGTAAACTGGAAGGTTGGCTTTCTGGAAGCTGCATGTTGTCCAGGCAACTGGGAATGGGCTAAATCAGCTCACAAAGCTTAAAATACCAAGTTCCTGGAAGGTCAATTCTCCCCTTATCCTAAAATCCAAAGTGTAGTTCAAAGAGAAAGGGCTTTGGAGACAATTAGCTATGATCTGCTTTCTTGTAGGCACTGCTTGCAATTTGGAGACTTACAAAATACAGATTTACACATCTGAAGCAATACTGTTGTGCTGATACAGAGGAAAAGGACTGATAGTAGCCACCCTGGACAATTTACAGCATGAGGTCCCATCAGCAAAATGACATTATTAATGGGCCAGCCTGTGGCTCACTAGGGAGAGTGCGGTGTTGATAACACCAAGGCCATGGGTTCAGATCCCTATATAGGGATGGACGGTTTGCTTACTGGGTGAGCGTGGTGCTCACAACACCAAGTCAAGGGTTAAGATCCCCTTACCGGTCATCTTTAAAAAAAAAAAAAAAGACATTATTAAGGCTTAAAACTGAAGATCCCCTTCAATAAGGCATTTTAAAGCATATGAGGGAAATAAATGCAGGAGCAGGTAATTGAATTTCCCACTTCAGAGAAATGAGACACAGAGGAGAGGTGGACCCATGGACTCAGGGTACTGACCTGAGGGGAGGCAAATGTCGAGGAAAGGGCACAGATCAAATAAAGGAGACGTGAGTTCTAGTCCCCCTCTGGATACGTAAATTTGGGCAAGCCATTTAACTTCTCTCAGCCTCAGTTTCCTAGTCTTTAAATCTTTGATTTTTGTTTCCTTTTTGTCTTTTTTACTGACCGGCAATGGGATTGCAACCCTCGGTGTTGCGCTCGCACCACGCTCAGCCAGTGAGCGGGAACCGGTCTCCACAT